TTTCCATTCGTAGCTAAGTCAGTAGTGAAGTCAGGACTCGTAGAGAGTCTTTGTGTCAATAAGGGGACTCTGTCTAAACAGGACAGGGCAGTTAGCAATAAAAAGAACTTCACTGCACAGGTAAGCTGATCAAAATTACATTTGCATGCATACCGTTTGTTGGGGTCCTTAATGAGCAGCCCTGACAGGAGTGACTTGGCGTCAGCTGACAGGGTTCGTGGGAATTTTATCTCTTCCATGAGGATGAGCTCAAACAGCTTCTCGTGGTCCTGGTTGTAGAAGGGCAGGCGTCCGCACATCATCTCATATGTCACCACGCCCAAACCCCACCAGTCCACTGCACGTCCATAGTCATTGTCCTCTAGCACCTGAGGATTTACACAAAAACCCTTTTACTGTATTGCTCCCACTAGCCCCATTTGTATTTCATTCAGAAGAAGCCCTACATAAAAGGTTCTCCTCTAGTGACTGTTTATATTAAAAGCCACGAGGCCACTATCGTTATGATTAGCTCAACTGAGAACTTCCCAAAAACTCTTTTTTCAACCTTTAACTGTGTGATAACCTCTTTCATATCCTCTTTATGAAGCAAACAACTTTCTAGTTCTCCACTGAGAACCACATTAAAAGAAGTGAGATCAGTTACCCACTGGAAAGAAAACCCTTCATCAGAGGAACTGCCTCCTAGGGCACTTCCACATTGGACCTGGTAGTTGCTGGGTGGTGACACACAGACAAACAGAGGATCCGAAAAACAGTTTCCTTCCTGAATTTGTTACAGAGGACAAACCGGATAAATTTGGTTTTGTTTTTTTAATCTTATGCTCTCTTTCTTGTTTTTTATAGCCATAGGAAGGTTTGTCAACATCTGAAACCCAAAATTCAGATAATAGTCTTTATGTGTATCTGGTGTGACCTCTGACCTCAGGAGCCAAGTACTCCGGTGTTCCACAGAAGGTTTTCATAGTGGCAGTGTCAGTGATGCCTTCTTTGCAGAGACCAAAGTCAGTGATCTTGATGTGGCCATCTTTGTCCAACATGAGGTTCTCCAGCTGATGAGTAGTTGAGGAGAAGAATAAAACCCATTAACCTTTACTGTATCCTTTAATAAGCAGGAAATTCAGAATAATAACGGACACTTCTCAGATCTCACACAGAGCAGGTGTACTTTACCTTCAGATCACGGTACACAATCTTGGCAGAATGCAAATAATCTAAAGCAGAGACGATCTCAGCGCCATAGAAACGGGTGCGGTCCTCTGAAAAAACTCTCTCTCTTGACAAGTGGAAAAATAGCTGTGGACAGGGAAACAAAAAGAATTCATGCAGTTTAGATATGTTTCTCTTATCGAGTGATAATTCACTTGGTGAAATCATGACTCAAAAGCTTCAGCAAGCAAACACAACAACTTTGAATTACACACAGTTTTAGTCCAAACAAAAGCAGAATCATTGTTCAGTTTAATAGAATAGAATAGAATAGAATAGAATAGAATAGAATAGAATGCCTTTATTGTCACTATACAGTTGTACAATGAGATACAGAGCATCTCCTACTCAGTGCAAACATGCTGGGGGGGCACAGTTCTGCAGCACTATATGCATATGGACAGTATTAACAGAGAAAAAATATATAAACTGTACAAATATACACAAGCCAGTTTTAAAAAGTAATAAATAACTTTTTAAAGCAAATCTATAAAGGAGACCAAGTCTCCATGTCACTCACACATTTAATAGATTCAATATAGATAGAATTAAAAAACATCTACAAACACTTAAAGTTGCTTAAAATCATTTTATATATCATAATTGTCACTTTATGGTCATAAAATAAACTAAATAAACCCTGAACTGATTCGTGCTTTAAAATGATGAAACTATTACCACAATGGAACCACAAAAGTTCAGACTTCCCAGTCCAACGTGCTTCCCAGTGAAACGTAACACTATCTAGTGAGAGACTGCTTGCTCTAAAAGCACTTTGAATCTCATACTGTCATGTTAATCAACATTATTCAATAATTTTTAAAAATCCTTGTATGTTAAACGAAAACATCTCTCATCAAAGTGCTATTTAAAAAGTCTCTGAGTGACTTCTTACCTCTCCTCCGTTGACATACTCCATTACAAAGCACAGCCGATCCTTTGTCTGGAATGAATACTTCAGAGACTGTGAAAAATATTGAAATAGATTTTAAACCCAGACGCGCCATTTGTTTCAAACGCAACACAAAAGCTCTTTGAGTCGAGTGCATCTTTCCAGCTGTTACTCTTCACAACACTTCTTAAGAGTCTCTGCACAGATGCTAGTAGTCATAGCTTGTTTGGACAAAATGTAAATTACAACTTGGTTCACACAACTCCTAGCAGGATGTGGCTGTATGTGGTGCAATGATACATGCAATCTACCATACTTACAGTTAGGAATGGATGCCGAGTATTTTTTAAAACCCTACTTTCTGTGAGAGTGTGAGCAACTTCATCCTGTTCAAAAAGATTAAAGAGCAATGATTAGTGAGGAGTAAAAAGGAGCTCGTCTCTAAAAAGATCAAGCCAATACTGAGCTGAAATCTAAAATTTGAGAGAATGTTTGATATGAATGTGCTTCATCTAACAAATGCAAAACACCAAATATTAGAAGGCAGACATGCTGTAATTAGAATCAGATTAGATTAGTCAAATATGTAACAGTAGATTCAAAAAATACACCTTGTTACTGAATTATTCAGCAATAAGGCTGATCATTTAAAAGAGGACCTTGGCAATGATGACTTCTTTTTTGAGGATTTTCATGGCGTAGTAGGTGCCGCTCGCCTTCTCCCTCACCAGAATGACTTTACCAAAAGTGCCTTTGCCCAGAAGCTTCAAATAGTCAAAGTCATTCATTGTCTGTGGAAAGAAATATCAGGAAACAGTTGTCATAAGCATTTCTCCAGTCTTCAGTACACTTCATCTTCAAAGCAATATGCTTAAAGTAAACCAGTCAGCTCACAAACTGGGACATAGAAGAATGGTCAGATCAACAATACTGATTTTTACTGTATATCCCACAAACACTTTGTATTGTGAGTCCTTGATACTGCAAGTAAAGAACAGTGTTTTAACCTCAACTGCTTTATTACAGTTGGACTTCTATGCTTCTTCTTATTTTCTGTCATATTTGTAGCGGTACGACAGTGGATGTTCAGGTTTCCGGAAATTAGGTCAGTGTGTGTAGCAGTAATCCAGATGAACCAAAAGCTCGGGTTTCACACTGCTTTAAACACTCGGTTTCAGTTAAAGAAACAAGAGCAGACACAGATATCTTGCTGTTCAGATTTTACGTTATTTAGAGGCACTCAATCAGCAGGGAGGCCTAAAGAGATTAAGAAGCAAGCTAAAACAGCTTGTTTCAGGTGAGAGTGGGCGTGCTTCAAGGCCCAGCATATGATGAACAAGGATTATTTTGAACTGCAACTCATGAAAAACTACTCCAGGACAGTTCCAGCAATAAAAGTATGAAGCTGGAAATGAGAATTAAAGCAGTCTCTACCTTTCGTTTGTAGTGGCTAATGGAGGTGTCCATCTCCTCCTCGTTGACGTTTTCAATCTGGGAGGTGGGGCTGCACAAGATGCCCTCCTCCTCCTGCTTGGCTAGTGACTCTGCTACCATCTGGATGGCCTCAGCCCACTCGTCCCTGTAGGAGATACGTGGAAACAACATCATAGATTAAACGTCAAAAGTCTATTTTCTAAATTTCTTAAATAGATGGTTAAATTAAACTATATGCCTTCCGTATGGGAAAGGTTAAAGTTTTCATAACGTCACTCTGCAAAGTATTCTTCTTTAGTTCGACAGCTTCCGGCTGCACATTTTTTTGTCAAGTTCTCAAGATTTGTAGTAGTAGTATAAATTGTTAATTCAAACAGGTAATCTCTTGGAGACTGACGCCTCTTTTTCAAGAAGAATCTGTCTGCAGAAAAACGTAAAAAAAAAAAACCCTGAGAAAGACAACTACATAATAATACTGTGATTAAATTCAATCAAGGATCAAAGGTAAGCATGAAATCTTTACAGCAGAGTCTTACAAATAACAATTTGCTGGGGGCCTAAATATGAGATACAATGGTGAGTAAGAACAGAATCACTGGTGATGAACTGTGAATTCTATCCTGATCTGTATGTTAATAATCCAAGTGGCACTCTGTCAATCTTTATAAATGTGAGCAATTGTTTTAAAATGCAACGTGAAAGAAATTACGAAACTCCGACTTCTTTGTCTTGCATCGTTTAGAGTCCTCAGTGTTCAGTTTAAGACATTTTCTTAAGATGTTTGTTACATTTTTTTCTTGCCTTTTAAAACTTTTTAAGGAACCTTTTGGATATACTTGGTCAAAACAAACTGTTCTTCAGGGTCTCTCACAGCGATCCACCATCCTCAAAACCAACCAAATCTGTGATAAAACCACCCCCACTCATGTGTTTTTAGTTTAATGTTGTTAGTAACAAATCATTTCACATCAGGTATCAGGTCTTTGTGCGTACATTTTTTAGTGTTTACTTGCAAAACTTGACTTTCCATCTCAGTCCCACTCACTTCCTGACTGTCTTCTCATTGTGTTGATTGAATCCTGCTGTGTAAAGTAATTAGAATTTAATTCAACCATTTCCATAACCTGACCCACTCCTTTCATATTAGGTAATGACTCTCATATCTTTTTATTAAATATTATTTATTTTTTCTTCATAATAAATACACACAGTCAATGGAAGCCCACAATCTAATAAATTATTTACATTAAAAGAGCTGCAATGCATTTCCGTTTTCTCTGTCATACATGCACACTGTTCTAAACGCTGCATTTTTTCCTCCTACTCTTGGCTTTTATGTCAGTGAGATAGGATATTGCTAATATGATTACTTCATCCCTAGAGGTATTTCTGTGAACACGGAAGCCTTACCGATCTGCCTTCATAGATCTGCGTTTAATATCAAAGCCAATCAGAAGAACGTTCACTTAAAGAGAGAGATACTTGTTTCAGAAGGAGGGGGGGTTGAACAGTGGTGTGGTGCCTCATAGTAAGAAGGTTCTGGATTCAAGCCTCTCAGGTTTAGATTGATTTGTGATTCTAAATTTCCCTGCGAAGAACACAGACAGGGCAGCGCACCCTACATCTTGCCTTTGGTCAGCTAAACTTCAGCTCCGGCCCCACTGGAGGCTTAAGAAGTTAAAAATATAAAAGAATGTATTGAGGCTCTATAACAAGTATCAAAAGGACATTATTTTTAACTATAAATCAGACAAAGTTATTTAAACAGAATCTACGTAACTTCTGTAATATTTTTTCTCCTTTTCCTTAAGATGTATACCTTTTTCTTTTTTTTTAGAAGGATCTTCTTCATTATCCAAGGCTGCTGTAATAGTGAAATACAGGAATTTGTAAGAGGACAGCTCACCTCTCATCAGGAGTGTCAACATGAAAAGTTCTTTCGATGACTGTCGTCCACTGCAGACAGCGGATGATAAAGGTGTTTGGCTTTGGCCGCTCCGTCTTCATCAGCTGGCATTCTGACAGTCACAGAGAGAGATGTGTTGAGTCGTACAAAGTTAGTGATGTTTGAAACGTGCGATGATCCACTCATGGCTTACTTGCTACAGAGAAGTTGTTGAGTGGGTAGGCCAGGTCAGAGTCTTGTGGTTTGTCCTTGTAGCCGATGAAAGAGCCGTCTGTCTTCAGCAGAAAGTAGCGTGGTCGCCAATTCTTGATGTACTCTCCTGCAGGTAGGGAATAAAAGATAAAAATGGCACCAACAGCTCATACCCTGGTACTATCACGTCTTTTTAAACCTTTCATAAGTCTGTTCTATAAAATAGAATTAAGTACCAGTGCCAGCTCCTAATCCACAGATTACCACTAAGACCACTTTGGACTTTTATTTACTGGTGTTTTAATCATGAAGACCTCACACTAAACTAATGATAGCTGGGGAATGCTGTTCAAGTTCAGAAAGATCCAGAGATTACACTTTCAACTAGGATTAAAAACGTCTGCAAAGTCACAAACGAGTCATCCCTTTAAAACCTAGTAATTGTTATTTTGTGTCATTTTTTGTTTTACTCATTTTAGCTTCACCCCCAAACTCCATATAACAATTTATGTGTTGCTTCCTGCTATCTGAGTCATATATTTGTGACATAATTACAACAAATGCTGTAATTATGCTGTGCTGTATCCATGTTACTTGGGTACATAGGGCGATCGTTGGGAGTTCGCCTTGTAATCAGAAGGTTGCCGGTTCGAGCCCCGGCTTGAACAGTCTCGGTCGTTGTGTCCTTGGGCAAGACACTTCACCCGTTGCCTACTGGTGGTGGTCAGAGGGCCCGGTGGCGCCAGTGTCCGGCAGCCTCGCCTCTGTCAGTGCGCCCCAGGGTGGCTGTGGCTACAATGTAGCTGCCATCACCAGTGTGTGACTGGGTGGATGACTGGATGTGTGAAGCGCTTTGGGGTCCTTAGTAGTAGTCCTAGTAAAGCGCTATACAAACACAGGCCATTTACCATCTACCATGGATACATCCTATATATATATTTATATCTTGATAAATTAGAGAGTCATACTAGCAGCAGAGTTAACAAAAAACTGATATCAGTGATTAATATCTGAACCACTTTATGGTCTATCAAACAAGTCAAACCCTGAAGAAACTATGACATGTGATGACTCACAAGGCTTCAGAAAAAACAAAAAAAACAGTCTTATGGGAAGGATAAAGGCTTCGGCATGAGACAGACACCAAATATCTCTGTCAGTAAGACAACTGCCGCTGACAGCAGCTCTACTTTAAGGGTAAAGCAAGCAATTTTAGTGGGGGTCATTTATTAGAAAAAACAAACTCGACATTGTCGCAATTACTGTCAGCAGATTAAACGGGGAACCCTCCTGGCTCTAAGCAGCTGACACTTAGCTTGCTAAACATTAACAGCTAGTTATAGGCTAAAATTATGCCAGCTAATGTAAACACGCCAGCTTCACTGAATCATGAATTGATATCTGAACGTTTTACAGCCTCATTCAGAGTAAACAAACATGGTGATGCAGCATATTGTCAGCTGAGGTAAACAGTGGACTGACAGCCTACATTCATTACAGATGAACGGCGGCAAGAACAGCTCTTTGTCCTAGAGTGGCCAGCATAGCTAGGATTGTGCACTTCAAATGGGAGGGAAAACAGATTGTTGTCATCAATCTGACATCCATTGGTGAGATTTTACATACTGCACCTTTAAAGCTGGAGAAAGGTTTTTGAATGTATTTTTTGTCTCAACAGTCCACATCTCTGCTTAACAGAAACATGCTGTATGTCCAGATATTTGTACAGTGGAATAGTAGAACTACATTTTTTATATCAGTTGAGCTATTACTCATATAAATCTCTTCAAAATGTGTACTGTCTGGTCCTGCCCTACTTGACCTTTCAAACTGAATGATTTCCCATTAAGTTACAGTTTAAATCTATACCTGATCACATTAAACAACTTGCAGCTTCAGCTGGTCTTGCTTGGCCTCCCTCTTCCTTACTCCCAGGAGAGGGAACTTCCAACTCATTTACAACTTCTGTAGTCCATCCTCTTTAAACAAGCTATTTAAGGTTCTCTTGTTTTAAGGTCACCCTATCTATAAGCCCCCTTCCTTCTGATTAACAAAATTTTTTAAGAGGTTTAAACAACAGGTTGGTGGGACCTCTGTGCCAACAGCCAGAGCAATGTGACATCACTGAATCCAAAAGTAGACCCCCCCCCAAACAAACAAACAAGCAAAGAAATAAAAACACAGGCACACAGCCTGAAGCCCAAGTCTTTGGCTCACAGGGAAACATTGTAGAGACACTAAAGTCTTTTTTTTTTATCTTCAGCAATGTTTAATATCAACTTCTACCTTTATAGCAGCAGATATGAAAAAATGAAGGAGAGGTTAACAGATCCCTTTTAACATCTGTCAAATTAGATTAGAAAATTTAACTGATATGTGAAACATTTTACTTGCATGCTGTGAAAGCTAGCTATAGTGCAAAACTGTGCTTCCTCTGCTTTGTTTTAAACCAGCTATATGTAAAAATGTGTGTTCCCCACGCCCACTAATATGTAGTGTGGAAACTGTGTCCAAACTTTCCTGAACTTAATGTGAACTCTTGAGTTTTGATGTTGAAACAACACAGAGAGCTTGTGAGGACAGCGTCCCTGAGACGGACATTAAGGCTGAATTATAAGAACACACAGAGGCGCAATAAACAATTCAGGGACTTGTGGGGGCCAGATAGGAAGGAACCAGAGTGTTAGGTCATCCTCTGTATGCTCATAGTGCCACTGAGAAACTTCCCCCTGCCTGCCAGCCAAAAGCCCTGAGCTCATACCAGACAAACCCACCTTCAGCAAACACAAACACACACACACACTTACACAAACACAAAAACCAGTGTGGGAAATAAAACACACCAGCAAAGTGCAGTTCAGACTGGGCTGCAGCCCTGCAAAGCTTGCCTTCACTGCTCAATGTCTGGCAGGTAAACAACCATTGTTTGGAGGTTCTGTGCTTCAAACTGGCATGGTGGCTCAGGCCATGTCCACACATAGCTGGATAAAAACAAATCTATTATGACTGAAGCTGGTGTGTTGAAAAGCACAAGCGGTGTCTTTTTAAGCCCTCTTAGCAGTGAACTGATCTTAAAAATAAATTAGTAATAATAATCATTGGTTTATACGTTTAATAAGTAAAACAGCCAGAAGCAAAGTGAGCAACTAGTCAATGAGACAATTAGGACTTTTTTCAAGTGCAACAACAGTTGCTGTTGGTTCTAAGATCTTACTCTACCTTGCGCTACCCACCACAGACAGCAGCACCCTCCATTCCCCTCTCGCTTCTGTGAAAGAAAGTTCTTAACAAATAATGTGAAAAGTAAGACAGATGAGAGCCCCGTGAAACAGTGCAGCTCTAAAACACTCAACAGTCAGTTCACTGTGCTAGTCATAGGTAGGCTGAGTCAGATTAAAAGGGCATAAAGCCACATTCTGCACAGACAACATGAACCTTATCTTGCAACAAGGCTGCAGATCCAAACACCACTACAAGTTAGTTACACTCAACTAATCTAATAATTTATGAATGCAGAGTATACCATTTGAGTGGAGTAATTCAAGTAAGCAGGTTAGGAAATTAATAATATTTCTTATAGACATCCTAGTCCTTTTCACTACAGGTGTGATATGTGCGATACGAAGATATATATCGGACGACAAAATGAAAACATCTATAGTTTCAAATTATACGCTATTGTTTGTTTCGTGGTGTCGCAAAATACACAGTTTACGGCAATATTTTTTCATCAGAGCACGGAGAATACCACCGTGGCCAGTGAAGACGAGCCAGAACCAGGTAGCTCCAAACAGAAAGACCAGTCAAAACAAATCGAGGACCTTATTCCTAAACAAGGGGCTACCTCTGTTGCATGGACATGGTTTGGTTATGAAACGTCCGACAGGGACCAGAAAACTGTACTATGCAAATTATGCCTCAAACCGGTCCCCACAACAGACTCAAACACGACAAATCTATTCTACCACCTACACAAGAATCATGTGAATGGAGAGATGAGAAGCAAAGAAGAGCCGTCAGGCGCTCAAAATAAACCTTAGACTCAAACGTTAGAACAGGCTTTCCCCGCAGCATCCCATGCAATAAATACTCAAAGTTTCATGCATGCATGACCCATGCATGACCCATGGGTCAAAACACTCGACACCCAGCTGGAAACACTTCACACAAGTCGAACTGCCCGAGATTCACAGAATTTACAGAAAAAGCGCGATTTTGTGATATATATCGTTATCGTGATGAGAAACATCTCATAACAGGATATGAGATTTTGGTCATATCCCACAGCCCTCATGATCTATTTCTATGATGACATAAATGATTGCATTTTCCCAGTTTTGCAGAACTGCTCAAAGATTGCACTTTGTTGAAGTGAAATACAGTTAATTATAACAGAACAATATAATAATATATAACAAAAGCACGAATAAACAGGCATTTAACTACATTTAGTAGTGAAATGTATGTTCTTTGAAACTGACAGTTTTTTCAGTATCACTTCAAACGTATATTGGTCATAACAGAATAACAACTAACTTAAAAAAAACAGTTGGTCTCTAATAAAATTAGCAACGCATCAGCATCCTGGGTGTAACTAAAAAGAGAAAAGGCAAAGTTTGTGCCAATAGCTGGATACGACTGTTTTACAAATGTATTACAAGCCTTGGAGCCTCTTGAGTCTAACATGACTCCCTCTCAGTCCATCCACCATGATTTTGATTTTTTTGTTTTAAGATAAACTTCAAACATTACTTTTTCCGATGTATATTAGACTGCTATTTCCCTTAATTGTATTTAAACAAGCATGAACAAACAATTAAAAAGCTAGAAAAGAGATTACTGAACCAGGCAAATGTTAAGAAACTAATTAAATTAATAGTATTTCACTTGTACAACTGATGTCCATCCACTTATGTTAACAAATCAGGGTAGGCTAAACTATTGATCACTGTATATAAACAGTAATCAATATGATTTTCTGCTCTTCTGCTAGAATTTAAGAGCATACCAACTGCTTTCCCTTCAAAACAATCCCACGTGTCTCTCCATCTCCTTCATCTTTCCTCCTTGCACAGAGGTGCACATGCATTAACAGTACAGCAGTGAATAGCATTATATTAATTGTGTTTAACTCCTGTGCAGGTGGGTTTCTAACAACTTTTGTGCTGAAAACTCAAACACATTCACACCATGACTTTGTCTGCAAAAAATTAATAAACCTTCCAGTTCTATTTTTAAGATTAATCCACATTTGGTGCTCTAACAGGTATTTAGGACGAGAGTTTAGCGTATATGGGAATGACAACTTTGGACAGCAGTGTAACTCTGTGGGACACAACAGAGGAATAACACATCAGGCTCTGGTTACACTGCAGGTCTAATTCTTCACTAGGTCTACAATTTAGCATTGATTAACCTGCCAATTATTTCTTCAATTTACTGCAATGTAGGATAAGCATAACAAATAAATACTACGTTTTTGCTTGAAAATCGAATCCATTATCAAATCACCATTCAATTCATTGCAGCCCTATTTGGAATGCTCAGAGCTACAAGGTTGCCAGATGTGTTTTTAAAGACCAGAGTTTAGAATTCCTAATAGACAAAGAAGGAAAACTTGCCTCTTTTCTGGACCCAGCCTTCCTTGACGACGTTCTGGTCGCTCATGGTGGCTTCTCCTCGTGACCAGTTCTCCCAGCTCTCCCAGTATGGTGACCGTGAAGGGACAGTTGTTGGAGGGTTAGCAGGACAGTGGGTTTGTCTGAAGCTCAGTCAGCTGTCCGTCTGACCGCTTGACTTATTCTCATCAGACTTGAAATTCTTCCACTCACTGCCTAATAGATGAATAATTATACTTCTCTTGTCCACTATCACTTACTCTTTCCTCCTCTTGCCCTTCTGACCCAACCTGACTTTCTCCTGCTGCCTCTCTTCCCGTCTAGTGTTCCTCACCGTCTTTACTTTTCTTGCTCCCTCTTTCCCTCCCTCCCTCCTTCCTTCCTTTCTTCTCACTCCCTCTTTTACAGTGTTCCCTTCACTCTCTTGTTCTCTCAGAGTTCTTCAGTTTTCAGGCGGTCCAGTAGTGAGTCAGCCTGGAAGGAAACAACGACAGAGAAAGGAGAAAACTGAGAAGAAAAAAAACCCACAGCAGGTCAGTGGATAGTTTCCTTCTCACAGCAAACACAGCAGGCAACCACTCATTGTTCAGAACCTTAGCACGCTTCCTGCCTCCTTAACTCCTTCCAACCTTTTCCTTGTTTCCTTTGTTACATCCCTTGCCAGACAATTTGCTATTTCTTTCATGTCTCTGGTTCCCAGCTCTGTAATTTTTTCATCTTCTCTTTCCTTTGTCTCTCTTCACTCACCTTTAAGTGAAGGAAATTCACGTATCTCATTCTCTCCTCTCCCATTTTCTATGCCAACTACCATTTAAGGTTGATTCTGTTCATCTGGGCGTAACGTTTTCAGTGGGAAAAATGCTACGTCCAGATGAGCAGAATCAACCTTTCAGGATTTGCTTGCCTGGATGATTGAGCATGCATCAAGACATCTATCATTTACCTGCTATTAACTTCCTGATGATTCTCATTTTCTTTTACTTCCTTTAGTCCTTTCTTGTCATGTTCCTTCTCTTCCTCACAAACTCATTTTCTTCCTCTCTTGTCCCCTCCCCATTCTGTCCCTCTCTTCATCATTTCTTGACTAGGTATACTAGTTTTTTCTCTTTCTCCGGTCCTTCATTCAGTTTCCCCATCCATCTCTCCCTTGGCTGACTTTTCCTCCTTCCACACAGAATTCCAGGACCTCCCAGTCTCACCCGTTTCCTTCCTTCCCTCCCTCCCCAGTTCTCACTCCTGCTTTCCTCCATCATTCATTCCCTCATTCATTTTAATTCTTTTGCCTCACTTTTTCAACTCCTTCTTCACCAGCCCCTACTTTGATTCTTTTTCCTATTTCTATTTCTCTTCTTTCACCTTTTTCATCCATCCTCACATTTTTCCATCCTACCCCTCATAACCTTCTCTGACTATACCAACAGACTTCTCTGTTCTTAGGTAGGACTTCACAGTTGTGAGAATGTTGCTTGTTTATGTAAATAAGACTTACAGTAAATATGACAAGTTAATTGAGAACAATGGGACATATGTTTCTGTTTCTAGAACAATCTGCATTGTGTCAAACTTATGACTTAACTTATGTCTTAACTTATCAAGTTAACAACAACAAAAAGGCAGCGGCTACTATTTACTTTAATTCATTGATTTCCCAAGATAAATTGTTAGTCTTGAGTGTGAAAATGTACAACACACTAACAGCTGTTACATTATTTCATAGAACAGCTAAACAATTGGATAAAACTGTTTCTATATAAAATTTAAATACAGTGAAATAGTTTTTCCAGTTTAACTAGAAAAGGAGTTGGGAGTTTGCATATCATGTCAAAATAAATCAGATCCAGCTAGCTGCGGCTAAAGAGACTATTTCTCTCTGGGGATTAAATAGTCCATCCATCCACTGCAATTCGTCTGCAGCTGGGTTGCAGGGGCACCAGTCCAAGCAGAGACGCCCAGACCTGCCTTACCCCAGCCGCCTACTCCAGTTCTTCCGGAGGTTTCCAAATCAGCCAGGGGGTCTTCTCATGGGGCATGTCTGGAATACATTACCTAAGAGGCACCAAGGAGGCACCCTAGTCAGATGACTGGTTCCTTTCGATGTGGAGGAGTAGCATCTCTATTCTGAGACCTTAATTAACCGAATTCCTCACCCCATCTCTAATAGCCCTTTTCCATTAGTACATACTCGGGTCAGCTCGGTACAGCTCGACACGGTTTTTAGGGTTTTCCATCAGATGACAGAACCTGGTACCTGGCAACAAGGGAAATGCCCACACAGAAACAACACCGTGGTGCTGAGCCTGACAAAAAGCCACAGACCGAGCAGCAGGTATAACATCGCCTTGACATCCACCTTTGTTCATGTCACATACAAATGACGACACGGGATGTTCAGCCATGTTGCTATAACAACCCCATGCACATTAAATGGTACTTGATTGTAATGGAAAACAAGTTGTGCCGCCTCGAGTTGCTTTGTGCCAATTCAAGTAGGTAGCAACGGAAAAAGGGCTTAAGGAAGAGCCCAGCCACGCTTTGGAGGAAACTTTCAGCTGCCTATATCCTCAATCTCATTCTTTTGGTCACTACCCAAAGCTTGCCACCACAGCTGAGGATGGGGATGCAGACCAACTGGTAAATTGACAGCTTTGCTTTAATGCTCAGCTCTCAGTTTTCCACAATGAGTGTCTCCATTACTGCAGATGCAGTACCAATCCATTCATCAATCAAACACTTCCCTCACCTATGAACAAGACACCAAGTTACTTAAACTACTCCAAAAAGCAGTGATAAGATTTTGAGGCCACCAAAGTGAAGACCTTCTGCCACTTGGCTTCACCAAATTATTCTGTTCATAAAAAATTATGCACAGTGACAAAGAGCAGGTCCAGTGCTATGCAAGTCAGGGTGCAGCTTTAGGTGAAGGCCCTAACAGTCTGATTTCTGCCTTTTGAAACTAGATGTTGAGACATGGAACAACAGCTTTCAGCTGGGGAAGAACCATGAGCAAGTTTGGTTGACTCTTAATGGACTGCATTCCACACCTCCATTGTTGAGGTGTCTGTACAGAGCTGTGGCTGCGAGGAAGCTGATGCCTGTCGTCGTGGCAACCTCCTAAGTAGATAGCAGACACCAAATGTGAAAGGAACTGTTGAATTAAAGAAGACATCCCATAGGACTTTGTTAGATCGTATATTTCCTGAGATACCTGGCAAGTACCAAAAGGCAAAGTGGACTGTAACTCTGGCAGTGACAAAAGCAAAAACTCAGCTGTGGGAAAAGTTTGGTGAGGCCATGGAGCAAAACATTTGATTGGCCTCCAAACAATTCTGTTGAACCATTATACAACTTAGGCCCTCCTAAGTTGTATAATGGGTCAACAGAATTGTTGAACCAGTACCATGCTCTCATGGTACTTTATACAGTGAGGAAATGGTCCTGCTGGCGTCAACTGAGAATTTAGTTGGGCAATTGAAGAAATAGTTTGAGGATCTCCTCAATCCTACTGACACAGCTTCCATAAAGGACAACTTGCTAGTCTTCCCTAAAAATGTTACATGCAGGCCGCCATCTAAATATGATTTTGAATCAAAATGAAATGTGGACAGCTATAAGTACAGTTACTTAATCCACCCGATTTCAAACCAACCACCTGTGGAAGATTTTAACTAGACATTTTAGTCAGTAGTTCTGGTAGATTTTCTGAGACTTTTAGAAATAACACTGAGCAGCAACAGATCCATGGATGTGTAACTGTCAGTTCTTTTTGTTACTATTAGGGCTGCCACAAATGATTATTCTGATAGTCGACTAGTCACCGATTATTTTTGCGATTAGTCGACTAATCAGATCATCATCCATTGGACGTAAAACGTACAGCTTATTGCACCAGCAGCATCTGCTCTTATATAACTATCATTAGCTTACAGCTTTAAGTGTTTAAGGTCTGTGCTAACTAACAATAAAGACAAGATGACAATTTATAAAATTTTAATGAAATTTGCAGATTGTTTTGGTCAAGTTTAATAAACTCCTTGCTATCTAAAATATAACAGGACACCAGAGTAAATTCTGAGCATCTCACACTTCTGATAATCAGCTGTCTGCTTGAAGTTTATTCAGCTGTGTAAAAACTATAACTTTAATCTCAGCCAAACCGATTTACTCAGGAACAAATAAAATACAGAAAAAAGCCAAACAATATTTTTAAGTTATCTAAGTGACTCATATATCATGTTTAACATAATACCTTTCAGGTTAAACATGATACCCACCGCCGCGAAAGACGGCAGTGGGTTTGAAAACGATTGCCGGGAGTCCGGTGTTCTCACCGGCTCTAGTGAGCCTTGAACCCCGGCTAGCTATCGAGTTATCGAAAACGTCGGAGCGCTTTTGAAAATATGTGGTGTCCTGATAAACTGAGCAGATATTTGAGGTTTACACAGCTACATTCTCGCCTGAAAATATGTTAAACGTTTATTTTGTGACCCAAAAAGAATAATAAGAGTAATATTAAAACGAACTATCTGTCGCCATTGTTGAAAACTGAGCAGGGCCGCGCTATGAATTCTGGGACAGAGCTACTTCTTCTTCGGGGTTTAACGGCAGCGGGCATCCTTGTACATGCAGTGCTGCCATCTTCTGTTTCAGTCCGTTATTACACTCTTAAATCCTACTACTTCTTCCTGCATCTTTTGGGATCTTACAAAACTTCAAACGTCGCTAAGACTATTAAATTATTCGTCAACGTAACCGTGACTAGTCGACTAATCGTGGCAGCCCTAGTTACAATTAGGGCTGTGCGATATGACCAAAATCTCATATCCTGATACAAGACATCTATCATCCCGATAACGATATAAATCACAAAAGTGTAAAATTTTCTGTAAATTCTGTGAATCTCGGGCAGTTCGACTTGCATGAAGTGTTTTCAGCTGGGTGTCCTGTCCCTGGAGTTATGACTTTTAGCCGATGCATGAAGCTATACATTTTTAGACATAAGTTGTAACAGCCGCCGTTTTCTTTGTGAGTATTTATTACACGGCGTGCTGCGGGGAAAAGCCTGTTCTAACGTTTGAGTCGAAGGTTTATTTTTTAGCACCTAACGCCTCTTTTTTGCTTCTCATCCGTAAACACAGCATACTCTTTCACGGGATTTAGTTTATTTTGAAAAGTCTCAACAGGATCTTGAGCTTTATTGTGAAAGGTTAATATGCAAAACAAACAAGCAGACAGTGGAGCCACGCCATTGTTTTACCGTGGTGGTTGCTAATGACAACGCGTAAAAACAGTCGCTTGTCCGTCCATAGTGTGGTCATATTAAATATAAGAGAAAGAGAGAACTTTAACAAATTAATATAGCCACTACAGTGACCATCAAAACGATGAAAAAATATTGCCGTAAACATTATATTTTGCCACACTACGAAACAAACGATAGCGCAATATGAAACGATAGACGTTTTTATATCGTCACCGATCGTTATATCGAACAGCCCTAGTTACAATATATAGTTTTAGTTGAATATCTCTATTGGCAAATATTGGCCCTGTTGATTGATGTTTATATATCTAAATGCACGGCAGTATTTTCCAAAGTTATCTTTTTTTCCCCCAATTCTAAATTTAAACATATTTTTAAAAAGAGAGGTTAAAACAAGTTGTCCTTTTCCCATGGATCAGAAAGGGAACTTCAAAATCCTTAGCAGCTTCAGCTATTGGGACTTTTTTCAGCGTGCTTGTGAATTTTTGAACAGTTTGTGCAGCCCTACCAAAAACACAATAAAAAAAAATAATACCCCACCAGCATCAGCTCCTTGACTCACATTCAGAGGCAACATAGGATCTGAGATAACATGTATGGGATAAATATTTGACATTTAATAGTATAACTTTATTATGCAAAAGTTTGGGTATTTAAAGTGTTTAGATTCTTCTCCATCATGTAAAGATCTCAAGAAGGCATCTGATCATCTCAAATTCATGCTGCAGCTCAAACTCAAAGCTCAAACATCCAGCCAGATGCATCAAGCAAAAAGAACAAGGAGTCCTGCAACTGATGGCCCCTACAGAGCCCCAATCTCTACATCACTGATACTTAGACTACATTTACAGAACCAACACTATCAAGTGAAATAATGGATGTATGCATGTTAAAATGTTGAACACATGTATAGTTTAACACTGCTTCATTACAATAACTATTTCAGCATATTACCTGAAATTACTTTCACAGGTGCATATAAAGACATTTTCCATGATGATGTTTTGTAAATGAATGCAAAAATCATACAATTAAAAAATAAACTCATGTTTAGAGCAACTAACTGTGTGCAACTGTAATATAGCTCCTTGGAGCCAAAACTTGTCCCTCAGCTTAAGCCTTAATAAGACCCAGCCATTGCTCTTAACCACTTATCCAATTCAGGTTAGCAGAATGTAAGAACTTATTATATCAATTTATTTGTCAAATTATCCACTTTAAACACAGAAAGATAATGGATATCTATATGATAAATTATATCACCCCAGTGACTATAAACAGAGGGACTACAATTAGCTTTAAATGGTTCTGTAATGCAATTCTGTTCCTTATGAAGATCACACTGAACTGCCTCTGAACAGAGCTATCTGAATGCTCTGACAAATGACCTTAGAGATAATTGTTTTCCTGATCAGTTTTACAGATGCAGTGATGATGATGATTCATAAAGGTTTGTCACTGTAATGTCTCACAAGTAACTGAATTTCCTATATGCCAGTACCCAACATGAGATGAGACTAGTAGGTCCACCTCTGCTATCATTTTACAAGTAATTTAACAATAAAACCCGATTCCCACATCAGTGGCTTCTCTTTCATGTGAAAAAACGAACACATTGTGGGTAAAAATCGCATGCCTTATACTGACAATAATCATTCACATTTCAGCATTCAAACAACATATGGTACTGGTTGTGTTCTGATGACCGACTGGTCATGTTGCTTCAATGCATGGCTCACACAAGCACCATTGGGAAGATCCAGCGCTGGAAAACAAATGCTGAGATCTCCAATGACAACAAAAACAATGGCTGACAGGAGCAGGGGTTGTATATTTCAGAAGCCGGCTCAGAGCTGCGGCCCTCGGTGCGACAAACACTCCCCCCTCCCCTGTCTGTGATTTATTGTTCATGATTGTGCCCTGCATCACACACACAAACAAACAAATACTGAAACAACAGCTTTTGTTTCAAGGGCGTGTGGTGTCATTATCTGTTACATAACAACATCCGCTTGGCGTGCTCCATTATATTTTAATGGGCGAGCCGTGAATAAATGTCTGGCAACGGCTCTTATGCCGATTACTAACTGTTAGTGGCGATGAAATAGCTGGTGTGAGACGGCAGGATGGGAAGGTGGTTGTGTGGTTGGCCTGTGATGGCTCGGCTGGAGGATGCGGGTTAGCCAGGGATGCTAGCTGGGGAGGGTGAGGGGGGTGATGCTAGTGCTAATCTTAGCCGGTCAGCCAGTTCAATGCCTGGCTAGCATAGCTGGCTAACTGACAGTCCGGCAGTCAAGCTGTTGGAAGTGGTGTTATTTCTCTGATGAAACCACTCCGGTATCTATCATCTGCGATTTTTGTTTGTTCATCCTGAACTGAAACGAGAGTCTGTGGTTTATGAAGGCGGGGGGCGCAACGAAGAGAGGTGGGAGGGGGGGAAACGGGAGGTTGGGGGTGTAGTTCATAAGGACGATGGGCCGAAGCCAGACGGCCGGTACAGTTACCATTACTGGCCCTCCCCTCCCTGCTGCTGCAGCAGCGGCAGCATCCCAGCGCCGCATCCTTCCCAGCCCGGCGAATGACGAAGCAGCAGCAGTCCGCTAACTGCAGCTAGCTAGCGTGCTAACCTCCGCTCCAGGCTCGAGACAAACCCGCTGCCCGTGCCCCCCAAACAACGACTCCCACTCCCCCCTCCTTATCACCCTTTTCACACAAACAACCCAAGCGTCCACCCCACACACATTATATCATATAATTATTTCACCTGGCAGTCGAAAAATGATAGGGATACCCCCTCCTCCTCCTCCTCTCCTCTGGGCACTGGAGCATCCGACGGAGTAACGTCGCTCAGTGTGGATAACAGGAGGACATCGATGGGTCCATAGCCGTGGATGCCGTCTCCAGACCGTTGAAGCCGTAAAGATGAGTTTTCGGGGGTGTATTGTTTTGTTTTTATATCCCAGGCAGACAGCGACTGCGGCGGCGGATAGACACACGAACAGACAGACAGACAGACAAACCCGCTCAACTCCTGCTCCCTCCGCAGCTCCGCCAGGAAACCTCGCTCGGCTCCGAGTCGGCTCGTCACGTTCAGCCAGATCTGACTGGGAGGACTCCTGCTGGCTTCAAGGGCTGTCGGAAATGTGGTCTTTCTAAAAACGGTGACAAAAAAGTCGCAGCTAATCAAATAATTTGGGGTACTTTATCCTCGCCATTTAGTCGCAGCCACATTACTTAACTTGAATCAGACAATACTGCTTATGACATGTTGTTTAAGTGGGGGACCAAAACGCAATTTAAAACATAGATTATATTTCAGGAGCTTGGCTTATTTACTTAATTCAAATAGCTGCAGAAAAATTACATGTGAGGTTCAAAGGTAATTATTTATTTGGCATCAAATAATTTCTTCCTGTACTTTATATGTATATGTGTTCAGATTCATTTAAAAGCTCAAAATGCTGCTTTTATGCAATATTTTTCCACATTCCACCTGCCTTGTCTAGTTTATATATATTAAAATGCAGGTAGAAACAAGCTTTTACTCAAGTCCTAAACTTACATTTTAAAGTATCTATCAACAAATGGAGTCTCACTATCCATTTAGTAACCAATTATAGAATTAAACTCATAAGAAAACGGAAAATGAAACGTTTTCTTAAAGTTGTAAGTGGCATCTATTAGCTAAAAAGGGCCCATTCTTGGTGTAATTGAATCTCTTTGCTGGACCCTTGTCATGAAACCGTGGATAAACTCTAAAGGCGCTAAAATGATTTGAATCCTATTCGAATGATGGGGATTACGTTGTGGTTACAAAAACGTTTGTGGACTTCCACTGAGCTATTACTCGTAGTGTATTCTTCTCAGTACTCTAACTTTTTCTGCTTTATGTCATCTTTACCCTTTATTTTTATCTTGTGAAAACCCAGGTGTTTCAATTTTTGTTTTTGCACTTGAAAGAAACACTCGTGTCTCCTAGCGACTTTCCACGTTTGTTTGTTGGCTACATGTGTATGTGGTAAACGAGACTTTACGAAGAACACGTGAATGCAGCATCTGTCTCCTCATGGCATCCTAGGCTTTTGTTGATCCCTGGCTTTTGTTCTCTCTCTCCCCTCTCTCTCTCTCCCTCTCTCTCTCGCTGTGTGTGTGTGTGTGTGTGTGTGTGTGTGTGTGTGTGTGTGTGTGTGTGTGTGTGTGTGTGTGTGTGTGTGTGT